ATAAATTAAAGCAATATGTAATATCTTTAAAAGAAGGTAAATTTATTAATAATAAAAATAATTTAATAATTTTATTTTTAAATTTTTAAAAATTTATAATTAGTATTAATTTTTTTAATTTTTTTTTTTTTACAAAATTTAAAATATTTATTTTAATTTATACTAATATAATTTTTTTAATAGAATTTACAGTTGGAATGATTTTACCTAAAAAGGATAATGTGAAGGAAAATATTTCAAATATCACTTCTGGATTTAATGCAAAAGTGAGTATGTGATTTTTATATTATACATACAATATTAAGTTTGATTCAAAGATTTTCCAAATTTTTAAATTTACTGTTTCACTTATATATAATTAACTAATATATAATTAATTATTATAGATGCAAATGAATTCTACTGTAGTTTCATCAAATAATAAAAAAGAATTAGGATGTAAAATTTCAACGACAACAATTAAGCAACAACAGAAGTTTCAATGTAGGGCCGAAGAATTTTATAACGTTTTTACGTCAGTAGAGGTAAGAATATTGCAATTATTCATGATATTTAAGGCATTTAAAAATATATAAAGTCATATTGCGTATAGAATTTTTATTCATTCAAATTTATTTTATACTTAATAAATTTTTTAAAACACAATATTAATTCATTGAATTATCAAAAATCAATAAATCGAAAATTCTAAAACAAGAAAAACATAATTATTTAATTATTATGTTATTCATTGTGTTTTTTTGTCTATGAGAAAGCTATTATTTTTCCTTGTAAGTTCCTATATCTTTATAAAAATATATATAATTAAAAAAAATATATATATATTAATTATATTTTAATTATAATTTTATATATTTTAATTTTTTATTTATTATATTTTTCTTATATATTTCTAATATTTTATTCAATAATATAAATTATACTGTTACTTTGGTTTTATATTATTTANAATATAATATAATATTTTGCATTTCTGCATTTCAGTTACATTATTATGGATTGAATATTAATAATATTAATAAAAATATTTAATAAATATTATCGCGCTTGTAAACATAATTACTAATTATATAATCTATAATAAAGTTTAATAAAAAATTTATATATAAAAGTAAAAAATTTTTATTATTATATATTTTATATAAAATGAAAATTTTTGATTATAATTAATAATTGTGAATAATGAAATACAATTTTATGTATTAAAATTTAGTTTGAACTGAAAATAACTATTATATGGTGGTTTTGAATTAGATTAAAATAAGGTTGTTTTATTTAAGCAAAATTAAATTTTTATTAAGTAAATAATACTTTTCATTATTCTCTATCATTTATTTGATTAATCTATAATTCATAGAAACATTGTATGTATACTTCTATCTCACCAGGTGCTGCAAATTTTTACATCTCTACAATGAACAGAATAAATCACAAAAGATCATCTTTGATAGTTTCAATAAAAATATATACACTTATTACATCTTAATTGGGACACCTTATGTATCATATTTAATTATATATTTTATCTCTTTTTATATAGGAGAATACTTATTAGTATATAGTTGTTGATACAGTATTTGTTGATAGGATTTATGATTGTTTTATATTTGCTTATTCTGGTATAGGTGGAGTAATGAAATTCTGGACTGCTGAAATGAAGTTTTATTTTATAGGCTGATCTAAAAAATTATTTGTTTCCTGATGAGACAAGACAATTCAGCTATCACTATGAAATTTAGGTACAGAGTGCTAATACTGAAGACAAATTTGTAAAAAGGTTAGTGCACAGAAGGAACGCTTATTTGTTTATCTTTAGCTTGTATTGCTATAATTTATGAGACATAAATTATAAAATATTCAAATATATTTTGAATTTAATGAATCATAAAATTAAGATGATTTAAATAGATAAAATAATTTAAATTCTAAATTGGAATATTAGTAAAAGATGAACTACCAAATAACAAACTTGTCTTTTTTTGGCCGTTTTTCTCTATTAAGATAAAGAAATATTAATAGTAAAAAAAATATTTGTAAATCAATTATATAAGGTGTTCTTTAGAAAATATCATATATTATATAATATAACATAATATAAGATAAACTTTTGAAATTACATTTAAAAATTACATTTCTTTTCTTCCTTCTGAAAATTAAAGCGTTCATGGAAGCTTTTTATGAAATATTTGTAATTTTAACTTTAAAATATGAAGATGTTATCAAATTGAAAGTTCCTTTTGTATATTCAATTTTTTTTGAAGACATCTATGTAGCCTGTCATTTATTTTTAGATTTAGGATATATACAGGGTGTTCCATATATATACATATATATATATATAAATTTATTTCCCAAATTATTCAAAATTCGAAAAAGTAAATAGATCTTACATTGTTTCAAAAATAATATTTTATGATGTTTCCAAATCTTGTCTGGATGTATGTATATTTGATATTTCAAAATCAAACCACTCTGACTTCATTGATTCATAATATGTTAGTTTTTCAAGGTTATTTGTAATCATTTATTATTTAAAATTTATCTTTGTTGAATGTCCAGAAACTGTTATTTTTCTCTTGTATTCGAAAGGACGATTTTACATTTTAATATTAATACTGATTTATTCCATTTTTTATATTATATTCCAAAATATAATTTCCTCTTGAAAATTATCCTATTAATTTGTTGATAGATATCCCTAATCCAATCCTTTATGTTATTAAAAATGGTAGATTATTTTAGGTAAATTTTATCATTTGTAAAATTATTTTCTATAGGAAAAAATTTATAGGTTTTAAATTATGTTGATAATTTCGTTTGATAATATAATAATGTCGTTGTGTAAATGAATTGATATTGAAAAAAAAATTATACTAATCATGGTGAATTTTTAATTTACATAAAAAAAATAATTAGATTAAATTATTCATAATAGGCAACTATGACATATAATAGATAGAAACAAAATAATGAAAAAGTATTGTTTTTTGATGTAACTAAAATGAAAATCAGTTAATAAACTGCGAATATTTATGCATTTATAAAAAATTTGAATGCAGAAAAATTTATATACTTATACACTCAAATAATATATGATATATGATGCAAAAAAGTATAAATTCAAAGTATAATATATATTATAATATTTAATGAATAAGACAAATCTCTATTTAAACTCTATTTATTTAAATATATTGATAAAAATTTTATTTTGCATAAATATTCACAGTTTACTTATTAATTATATGCAATTTAATGTATATATTATAAATGATTTTGAATTGAATTTAAAATCATAAATAATTAAAATTATTTGTTAATATTTTTAATTATATAAAAAAATAATATTACCTAAATATTTAAATTTTATTATATTTAATTATTTAATTTTA